CACATGGGAGGTGCCACATCAGCCGCAGAGCGGGCGAGGACCCAGGCTGGGCATCCCGCAGCTGGGGCATCCCTCTCCTTACCAATACCCTTTTATTTTTCACGGGTTCGTAACTCGCATCCTCCCAGGTGCATGGTGGGGGGAGGTGGCGAGGAGTAGCTGTGCTGGAGGGCGCAGGGAAGCCCGGCGCGGGGAGCGGGCGGCAGCGGCAGCAGCAGCAGCTCTCGGCATCGCTCTGACATCTAGCGGTAAAAGTATTCTTGCAGCCTTCTGGGGGGTGAAGATTTTGGCTGGGTCTCCCCGCCCTTCCCTGCCCAGCAGCCAGCCTGCAAGGACCAGGCTGTCACGGGGAAAGGCTGGTGCCTCCCAGGTGTGCTCTGCCCCAGAAGCTGAGTGGGTCTCCCTAGGGCTGAGGGGGTGGGGGTCTGGGGATGGTGCTGTGCAGAAAAGCTCCCCAGCACCTCCTCTGTGCGGTCCATGTAGAGCTGCCGACCCAGGATTGCCTTCCTCCTGCCCTCAGATGGAGGGTGCGGAGCCGCTGCTGGGGCTCTGGGGGATGCTGGGTCACGGTGACAGCTGCCCCATGGCTGAGCATCACCTCACAAGAGCAAATTCCTTCTGCTTGGCCTCCTTGAACCCCTCAGCGGTGGGTGTCGGGCACCTGGGCACTGTGGAGGGTTGGGGTTGACTCTGCTTCCCCACATCCACCTAATCCACACCACGAGCTGAAAAAATGGTCGTGTGATGTGCCGAGGGGCTTGGGGCCGAGTCCCGCAGGGCAGCTGGACCGGGTGCAGATTTGAGACTGAAAGCAGAGAGCAGGGGCCAGGGGTGGGGGGAGCATAGTTAGGTGGAGCTTGACAAGTTTTAAGATGCAAATGTGGGTCAGAAATTGAAAAGATACGGTCACTAGGCACGTCCGCTCATGCAGAGACGCTCTTGAGTCTCACACAAAGGTTGTTCTAAGGCAGCAGCTCCATTCTGCCCAGGCTTCGGAAAATCCTTCCCAGGACTGGGAAAAGGGCTTTTGTGTAATCTCATAGCTCAACTGGTGATGTCATCTCCATGCAAAAGGGTGAGAGTTAAACAGGGTCCCCGGTGGGTACGTGTCGGCGGGGTGACCCCTTGACCTTCAGCAATTCAGCGGGAGCACAGCATCTGTAAGGCCAGACTTGGCTCAGGCTCCAGATACCTGCAGCATTGTGTGGCTGAGGCCACCGTGAGAATGGGTGGGGGGAGAGGGGGAAGTAAACTTGCTTAAAAGCTGAACCAGAAAGATACTGCTGTAGCTCAGCAGAGAAAACACAGGTAAATGTAACAGAAGCAGGTATTACGATGAACCTTCAGAAATCGGGGTTTGCAAATGAGTCCTACAGGTTCTGAAGGCCGTGGTGCTGCCGGCAGGCACATCGCTGGATGCAGGATTGGGGAATGAATACCCTTAATAACCCAACATCTTTCATGGTGCATGTCACTTTGGGTGGAAAGGACAAATAAAATATTGTCCACAACTTCTATGAACAGTGGACTTGTTATTTTATGCAATCAATTTTCTTTGTCTTCACAGTGATATCAATACTTTGGGGGATGGGGGAGTGGGAGGGCTGTCTCTGGTAAGATAGGACACAAACTCAAACCGGGGGAGAGCTGATTTGGGCCCTTTTAAGCTAGTGAGGGTCAGCAAGGAGTCTTGTTAGAGCACAAACCCACATAATCTTCTTGGAAATCCTGACCATATTGTCTGAAAAGTCTTGTTCCGCACAGACTAGTGACCAGCGTGTGAGTGGTTGGGCTTGTCCATACGTGGGTCTATCAGTACAACCCAGAGAATGCGTCTATTTTGGCCTTTCTAGCTCAGTTGCATAAGACTCTACCCACAACAAGCCTGGTTAATAAATTTGAGAAGGTTGACTGAGCAATTGTCAAGTCCTCAGTGCTTCCAGGCAGGCCTGGATATGTGCCACGTGGACCAGAAAGTCCTCCAAGGAGCTGTGGGCTTGTCTGGAATGTCACAAAAAGCCCTCATTGTTCTGCCTTTCAGTGTGGTTTGAAAATGAAACGCCATGTTCTCCGTTTGAAGTTCACTCTCAGCCTACTGGCCCCTGACTTCTTATATAGAAACTATAATAATTGTGAAGAGGTGTTTTTGTTGGTTTGTTTGCTGCCTGCACTTGATCTATTGGATCGCTGTCGGATCGCTGGCAGTAGAAAAACCTTGTGTGAGCCATGATAGAGCTGTCAGCATTGGGTGATGCACTTCAGGTAAATTATCCCTGGATGAGCATCACAGGGGACCTACAGGTGTGTTGGGAAATGACATGTGGCCTCTAAATGACACGTGACCATGCTCCCAAGGTCAGGAAGGGCCAAAGGAATTTAGGTGTTTCTAAATTTGGGAGTCCTGGTCACAAAACTCCAAAATGTTAAACTGAAAACAAAAATGCAGCTGATCAGCCAGTGAAGGCAAGAGACCACATTGCATAGTCTCTGCTTAATTTTTGTAGTATCTGTTGTTTCTGAATCTGTGAGTTTTATGTTGTTTACTCTGAATAGTGATGCATTTTTTATTGCTATTAGCTATTAAAATGACACATTAATTGTTTCTGCAATTAAAAATGTGTTCAGCTCTCCTCCGTGCCAGCATTTGTGACATTCAGAAGTCATAAACATCAAATACTCCATCACTTTTGCTGTAAACATGTCCTAGAAAAGTCATTTCATACCGAAGCCAGACTAAGAAACGCACCACAGCAGCATTTTAGAAGTTCTCTCACGAGGCTTAAAGGACATTAAAACTCTTCCCTTGACCCTTCCCACCAGGTGGATACTTTGATTAGTAAACTTAGCCACCAGCTAGACATCAGAGATCATTGGAGTAATGATCTGTGACACATAATACTCAAAAAGTTAGCAGACAAATGCTGGTGGAGGCTGCGTGCTGTGAAGTCTCAAGGACTGTCATCATTTCAGGCGTTCGAGCTTCGAATGTTTTGAGCCCGTCTCTGTCTGGTAGGCTACACGCAATAGCAAACTGCAGGCTTGACCTTGAAGTTATTGGTTGGCTTTTTGTGGTCTTTGAGATGCCAGATGAGGAGAGCGTAGCGTTTCTCCTCTCTGCCTACCCTCGTCCTGTATGTGAGCTCCTGTTGACACTTGATGTGAGGAAAGGCTGATGTTTGTGTTTGTGCTGCAGGGAATGACCATCCGTCCTCTCGTTGACTTGTTGGCTGTCAAGAGGAAAAGAGAGAGTGCTCCCACAGTGGGAGAGCAGATCCATATTCGGGTAAGTGATGCATCCATCAACACGCAGCCAGAGCATTCCAATATACCTTGCTGATAGCAATATGGGCCTTCTGAAATGTGGTGTGCCTCCAGGGACTCCGCAGTTGTACCTGAACCCTCTGCAAGTCCGTCCCTTTCCGGGTTTGGAGCCCTATGCAGCTTCCTAACCGTGGGTAATTATTTGCATTGGAATAGCAGCCACTGGCTCAATCAGGTTGCTGTTGCACTTGGGGGTGCACAAACATGACAGGAAAAGATAATCACTCAACCAGAAGTTGATACTTGAACCCAGAAGTTGATACTCAAACCTAACACCAAATATTCCGCTTCTCTGCAACAGTTGAAAGGGGACGACTTGGTTGCTTTCAGCGCTGGGATCTTCCATGTGTTCATGGGTCACTTCACCACCATCAGTTGGACAGTTTTGCAAAAAAGATTTAGAAGAGGGAGGGTAAAGAAAACACTGCACTGGCAGGAACCCCAGATGTCACCACAACCCAACAGCGGCATTTAGTTCACCTTGCTCTCGCCATCCAAACGTTGGCCTTTCTAGTTACAGAGGACTTCCCCAGAGCGGGGGTCAGCTCCGTGAGAAAGCAGGGTGCTCTGCACGCCTAGCCGAGGCTTTGTATTGCTGGAGGGCAGCACGGCTGCATCCCGCCGCAGTGTTGGCGGTACGCTGAGGAACAAATCGGAGAGGCTTTGCACCAGGCCTCCATCCGTCTGAGACCTACAACCTGACAGGGAGCTGTGCCCGGGATTTTTAATGTGGTCATACCCTGCATCCAGTGTGAAATAATGTTTCTGAATCTAGTCGTTTGTGCCCAGTCACATTTCTCTAGGTATGGCTCCTTCAGGAGGAGTTTTGTTGTCTTTTTGGGTAGCTAGAAATAAAGACATTAGGTGTGAGGACATTTCTAAAAACTGTTTGGCATCCTCACAATGAGGTTGTATTACAGGGCATTGTCTGAGGTTAACAGAACAGTTCAGTAGGCTGAAGAGGCTTTTCCTATCACGAGCAGAGAATACTTTCTTCTTTTGTTAGTGCGTGAATAGTAAATCATCTCTGGGAATGTGTTTATTAGGAAATGGGAGCTGGAAATGGCTGTGTACCAATTAAGTTGAGAAGGTAACAATGCAGATAGTTGGAAACCAGGCGTGCGGAAGCCAGGAGCAGCTTTCTTCCTTCAATTTATTTCTCTTTGGATGGTGGGGACATTCTTGCTTGCAAGAGCAATTAGCGGGGGTGGGTGGGTCATTTGTCAGTCCTCAGACCGTACAGCTGCTAACAGCAAATGTGGGGACTCTAAACCTGGACCAGGCTGCAGAGCCGAGTGACCCACTCTGAAATTTTTCTGCCCCTGACTCCACAATTTTTTCTTTTTTCATTAGAGCTGGAGGAAGCTCCAGGGATATTGATACCTGAATGTGGAGGGGCGTGGACCTCACAGTAGAGCAGAGACCTCTCCCACTTTAGAGATGCCAGTAGGAGGTGAAACAATTTCGGAAATCATAGAGATTTAGATTCTAGGTGGAAAAAAACAATCTGAGATTTTTAATACAATTTTAAGCAATAATAATGTTTTTCTAGAAGGCAGGACGTGGCCAATGATTTCATTCAGTGAGAAGTGTCTGTGGAAAGGCAGTATTTATTATTCAAGTGGAAGCATCAGTTATACGTTATCTCCATCTATATCTTGAAGATACTGATCTCCTGAGACAAATTGTCCTCAAAACCCTCAATATGAGCATTTCCTGCTTATCAAGGCCCAGTGTGCAGGACACGCAAGCCATCAGCCATCCCGTGAGTATCGCAAAGAGCGGATCCACATCCCTCAGCGATTATTCTTTGCTCGCACAGACCTGAAAGCAAACAGCCAAACCCCTTACTGTACTCCAGAACCAAGGGATACGCATGGATGCCTGGATAGGGAATTAGCCCAACATCCCCTCTTCTTGTTTACCGGCGCTGTGTACCGAGCTGAAAGCATCCCCTGTTTTGTCTGCTGGCTTTTGATGTTTGCTGACTGAGTTCATCACGTATGCAATACATGCAACCGGTGTATAGCAAAATCCTCTCTTCTGTTTAGTTCTTGGATCATTTGCTGGCTGGCATTGAAGATATATCTGGACACTGGGGACAGTATTACTGGAAAGACAAGTAAGGATTTGCCAAAATACAACTGTGTACACGTGTAGAGAAAAATGAGGCTGGTTTACTATTCCCTGAGTTTCCACTGTGGGCAGCTCAGTTCATCCTCGTGGTACAGCCCAGGTGAGAAAGGGGCTGCTTTCCCTTGGCCAAGGTGAGACCACTTACCCCGCTTGCAGCTCACCTGAAAAAAAGTGAGTACTTTTCAGTACTTCACCTGAAAAAAAAAACCCCTTCCTCCTCTCCTATTGTTTGTGCCTTCTTGAGAACGAAATCTGCTGGAAACGAAAGGGCTATGCCCTCCTGCCTGTTTGGCCATGCGGGAGCTGAGGACCCCAGCCCAGCATGTGCATGATTAACATGAACAACATGAGCTTGTAGCACTTGGGGGGGCTTGTTGTGGATTGATGAATTGCAGATGATCTCTACAGATTTCTGCAGCAAAGTGCTCAGTTTTCATTAAGTGGTGGTAGTTTGTACACACAGGAGAACTAAAAAACAGCCCCCCCCTCACCACCACAAAAAAAATCACCCTCTTATAAAATATAAAAATAGGAATCTACCAGGTTTAATTCCTTGGCTGTGCAGACACAGATGCAGCTATCTTCATGGTAGCTGATAAATGCAGCTGACAGGGATTTTCTTAGGAATGCCACTGCTTGGAAGGGCCACTAGAGGGTATGGGAATCGCTGCTGCCGAGGAGGGTCCTGGCTTCTTGCGAGCAGGTTTATGAACAGGTAACGACAGCCAACCTTGAGCATCAGGATGTGATACCGGCTAGGTCTTCCTCAAATGCTGCACTGCATTTGAGCAGAAGGCGAGAGGAAATGGCTCAAGAGGGAATCTGGAAGTGTTTAAATCTGTTGTATCCCTCAAGGCTAATGGATGTACTTGTAGCACTTACAGTAGCGTTCACGGTAAATCTGGCACTTTGGGGAGTTTTTACTATATTGGCAAAGTTTTAATATCTTAGCTCATGTACTGTAGTGCAGAAATAACTAGGGACTGACCTCTTTGACCACTGATGTCTGGAAAGAAGGTGATGGAATACAGTAGGATATGGGGCAGTCATGGACTATGAACCTTCTGGCTTGCTCCCTTTGGTGCTGAGGAGTTGTGGGAGGAAGCTAAACCTGTTTTCTTTTGTTCTCAGATTAGAATATTTCAACAGCAAATACCTGCAGAAGATCCTGCTTCGAGAATACGACCAGCCAAAATCAAGTATCGTGCTTCTCTATGAAAAGCTGGAGCGGAAGCATGCCATTGAGCTGGCAGAAGCAGGGCAGCTGGGTCATGCCCCGTCTCACCCATCCTTGCTGTAAGTGCTCCCCTGCAGCCGTCCCCTTTCTGTCCCTCCTCCCCATCCTACAACTGGAGGGAACAGTTATGAAAAGCTTTTCCAGACTTCTCTGCATCCTCTGCTCTTCCCTGCCGGGCTATCCCATGGGGAGGAGTAACGTAGCTTGGAAAAATGCACTTGGTCGTGCCCAGTGGTGGTGGGATCCGAAAGGTCTGCTGTGAACACAGCTTTGGGGATGCGCCGCTTGTGCTGCTGTGCATCCTCTGAAATCAGACGTTCTGGTTTTCTTTGCAGCGACAACAACAGGACTGTCATAACAGACAAAAAATTGGAGGATACTCTGAATCCGGATGTCCTGGAAAATATACAGGAAATATTGGCAAGGAACCTGTACCGAATACGGAGAACGGTACGACTCTTCCCTCAATCTGTATTTTAGATGTCCAATAACAAAAGTTATCACAGTTATCCTAACAGCCTGAGCAGATGTTATGAATATTTACATAATTACTGATGATGTCTCTTTGTGAGCAGAGAATAGTTGGCTGTGTGAAGCCAGATCCAGTTTCCAAGTCAGTGGCACATTTCTGTTTGCAGCATGACAGCTTTTGAAAGGTTCACCCAGTCAGCCTATAATTTCATGAAGTATTTTAAGCATCAGTACCCAGAACCAGAAAGGAGAAAGGAGGAGCACATGGATCTTCAGGCATCAGGTTAGCAGATCCAGCAGTCGCAACAGCTCCTGGTTACGTACGGGGCAGAGCAGTGATGGGCTTATCCTCACATTCCAATTTTTTCCCATAGAGGAGAGCACAGTGAGCTGTGACCAGAAATTAATCTGCAGAGATTTTAAAGCCGCTCAGTGGTTTTGCTATGAAACTGGTACAACTGGTAAATAGCACAGAAACCACTTGCTGTTTACAGAATAACTCATGAATAATCTGTCTGAGGTTTTACACGGCACCTAGGACTGTGCATCGTAATTGCTGTTCACATGGTGATACATGGAGCCTTATCCTTAAAATCCACCTAAGCCTTTGTTTTACGGATTACGCACGAAATACTGAGTCCTTGGGGATGTGGGCAGCTCAGCACAGAGGGATCAACCATCCCCTCCTGTCCCCTTGCTGAGCCGAGAGAAATGACTAGATAAGGCTGAGAGGAAACCTGTAGAAATGGTGAATGGGATGAAGTTGAAGGCTACCTCCTGTTTGCACTTACTCCTGCCTCAATCCAGCCTCACCGCTTGTAGCGACAGACTTATCCCTGCTCCCACTGATGTTGGTGGGAGATTTAACTTTGGTTGGTTTATGGCTTTTGAAGCAGGTTTTATGGTTCCTGGTGATTGCATGATTTATATATGAAGGTGGGACTGATGTAAAATATTGGAGGGCTGGGCAGGGGCACTGAGGCTGAGGACACCTCAAGCAGAACAGCTGTGCTAGGCTGGTGTGTCACCTGGGCCAAGAGAGGTGTATCCCAATCCTGAGCTGCAGTGATCGCTTGGGCAACTTTGCAGAAAGAGGCAGCGTTTGGTGTCCCATTTTCCTTCTTCGGCTCCTTCCCTCCATCCCCCCTCTCATGCTTGAGTGGATCAGTGTCCCCATAACTAGGCAGGATGGTGACAGGGAGGTGAAGGGCCCTGGAAGATGCAGGCGCTGGTGAAGGGATGCTGCTGCGGAGGGCGGGAGGGTCCCACCTCCAACGGCGGTCTCTGTGGGGCAACGCGCAGGGGCCAGCGTACAACAGGCACACGCTTCCTGGAGAGACCGAGCCTGTGGAGCAAGCCAAGGAGATCCTGATCCTCCGGCACAAGAGCCTGCGAGTGGAAGTGAGCGGAGGTGACGCGGCCAGCTGCAGGAAGGAGGTAAGGGGGAGAGGGAAGGCTGGTATGTGCAGAGACTGCGTACGGGCTGCTCTCCCCTTGCAGGCATTAACAAGCGCTAGTAGTGTGGTTTATTACTGCTGGTGTTTCCTTTTAAAGACAAATCCTGTTGCTTTCAAAAAAAAAAAAAAAGCGTCTAAATCCTAAATTGCATTCCAGTGAGGAAATGCTGAACAAACCCAACCCAAGTCCTGACAAACAAATGAGCCATCCTGGGTGCAGTGCCGTTCCGTGCTTTGTGAACACAGGCTCCCATCCATGCTAGGAAAGTTATTTACTGAGCAAATGTTATTAATTGGGCTTCAGTCTGTTTTTCCCATGTTTCCTTTTCTGGGAGATTTCATCAAAGGTGGGAATTGGGTACACTCATTGTCAGCACTCCAGATGGACTGTAAATATTTGAAACTCTTTGGTGATTTTTTTTCCCCCTGAACTCTTTTGAAAGGACGGACACATTATTGTGAGCTTTTCTATTTATTCTGGAGGTGAGGTTTTTTGGTTTTAAAAGCAGCTACGGTTCTGGGCAGACTTGAAGAAAGTAAACTAGAGAGAAGTGTTGCATACTGCATTCCTGGGAGTCCAGATGTACTGCTGGCATGGCTCCACACTGGTTTATGAATTAAGGGAGGAACAAGGGAAATACAATGTCTGTGGCTGGTGAAGACTTTTGCTGACATCTCTGAAAATCAGTGGGAGAAACTGGGCAAATGTTTCCCCATGGAAAGATGAAATGGCCCAGGAATGGTGCACGGGGAGCAGGCTTGGTCTTTTCAATTCCTTCCATCCCGTGTAACTCTTAGTCTAGAGGGAATGCAATTAAGCGCCCCGCTCCCCCCAAGTATATTGCTCCCAACCCCCTAAGTCAGCAGTATCCCTACATTTCACTCACTTCCCCAGATCTTAGGTTTTGATGGATTGAGCTAGAGCACTGTCCGAGTGCAGACAGTGGTCTCTAATCCGGGCAGCAGGACTCCGTCACTGAGGAGAATGGAATGACCTTTTAAAAAGAAATAATTTATCTTCCTTTATTTAGATAGTATTTTCCACGACAGCACAAGAACTCGGGACTGCCGCAGGCTTTCTTCCACTCTGATTTCTTTGTTCAAATGCCAGTCATTGAAGAGCCCACCGAGAGCAGCAGTAACGCACCAAATGCTGCTGCTTCTCAGCCCTCCGTTCACAGAAAGGTGTTCCGGCTCTTGCAAACAACTTAAAAGATTTAATTTGATCATTTACATGCTGATTGGTACTTACAATTCAAAATAGATAGGCAAGAACATGGCATGTTCCTGTAGAACATTTGGTATAATTAAACTTCAAAAGAACAACATCAAACTAGGGCTGATTTTGAGCACGACGTTACATACTTTAAGGACATTTGATTGTTAACCCTTGTGCTCCCGCTTTCCCCTTCCCTGCGGCTCCCGTTAGGCACTGCAGTGCATTTGGTAGGAAATTTAGCACCTCTGGGAAGACCGTTCCTCCTGTCACTTTGCATGCTTACAGCTGGCCTTTCAGAGGACAGCATATTTTGGGGGAAACTGCAAAAGCAGTACAACCACTCTGTCTCTATACTGACTCACGGGTGATGGCTAACACCCTATGGGGTCAGTGAATGCTCCTATGGATTATGCAAAATGCCAATTGGATGCTTAATACTGCTGTCTCATAGGAGTCATTTGTTGGTGCTAATTACACCGCTCCAGCAGCTACCTTTGCTTGGTGCCAGTCAAGTGAAGCAGATGTAAATACTGAGAGCTGAGTCCAGCGACATCTGTAAGGTGACTCTAAGCCCAAGAAGCATCCCTCTGCACCCAGAAGGAAAAATCAGCCATGCTTCATGTGATCAGCAGCTTATCTGCTAATGTTTTAAAATAGCTGCCTCATTTTACTGCAAATAGTAATAAGGCGATACCCAAAAGCAATGGGATAATGTTCTACAAGAGCCCTGGAATACTGACATGGTGAATGCTGTTACTTCAC